TTTTAGTTAAAATGTGTTGTTTCATCAAGGGTTGCAACCTTGTGAAACATCACATACATGACTTATAAATACTTCATTCTGAATTCAGAAAATCATATCGCGAACAAAATATCCTCTTGAACAAATTTCAAATTCTCTTCACTACAAATCAAATTTTCGTTAGTTTTGTGCAAATTCGATATAAAGTTGAATTTTTCTGAGTATTTTTGCGTTCTAACTCTAAGACATATTTGAGAGTGATTAAAATACTTTTAAGCAAAGTGATTTTGTTCACGATTCATACCTAAATCCATTCAACTTTACTGATATTTCTAACGGTTTTTATAGTAAAAATTCGAATTGGAGCAATATAGAAGAAATTGGTAAGTTCACTTTTTAGATAATAGAATATAGATGTTAGTTGGTTAGTTTGTTAATATTTTATAAGCTTTATATACAGAGCATGTAACTATTTTATATCTCTTCAATATTGCAATATCTTATTTCTCATTTTTCATTTTTATATTCTTCAATCTTCCTTTCATTGGTGAAAGTAATAGGAGAGGAATGCAAGGATGTTAGTACAATGATCTCTCAGATTGTTGTACAGTTAAATCATTTTATTAGGCGCACAGTAGATTCTTACACCCTAACTAATGGATCCCTAGAATCAAGGAAATGGAAACTAATCACTAGTTTCTAGAACTCACACTCATTACATTGAATAATAGCAATACAATAATACAAATTAGAAGAATTCAGTTTAAGATTTCTCTATACAAATCAATGAATAATTAATTTCTTAACATGGTATAAGTAAAAACACCTCAATGTCCTGAGGCCTCAGGTCCCAGGTCCCGCATCTCCTATTCTGCCCATAAACCCGTCTTCTCCAACGCAGAAACATTCATTTTCTGCAATTTCTGAGAAGTTTGGTTCAGAAAATTATCTGTTATGGTGTCAGCAGGTGGAACCTGTGATCAAAGCTCACAAACTTCACCATTTTTTTCTAAATCCTCACATTCCATTGATATTCACTTCAATTGAAGATGCAAACCATAATCACATCTCACTTAAATTTGAAGCTTAGGAACAACAAGATCAGCTTCTACTTGTGTGGTTGCAATCCACCATCTCTCGCGACATGCTTGGTCGTGTTATTGGTTTCAAGAATTCATGGACGACGTTAGACAATATCCGTACCTATATTCCTTAGCATATTGAAGTGAAGCTCTCTCAACTTTGATTAGAACTCAGACACACAAAACTGGAAAAGAATTCAGTTTTGGAATTCCTACTACGAGGTTAATCACTGAGTAGAGAACCTATCAGTTTTGGAATTCAGTTTTATGCGAACACCTAGATGTGATTCTCAAAGGTTTTCCTTAAGGTTATGAGTCCATTATCAGCTTGTTTTTTTTTTTTCGGTTGAAAAAAATTTAAGTGAGTTAGGCTCGGGTGTTCGCCAGAGTCAAGGCAGGCCTAGATGTGATTCTCAAAGGTTTTCCTTAAGGTTATGAGTCCATTATCAGCTTGGTTTTTTTTTTGGTTGAAAAAAATTTAGGTGAGTTAGGCTTGGGGATTCACCAGAGTCAAGGCAGGCCTCAAGGCACTACATATAATCCACCAAAGAGATCCTCACATCAGCCACAGGAGTTGAACTCATGACCTCTCCGTGTGTGAACCAACTCCTTACCAACTGAGTCAATCTACCTTGGCAGAAAAGTTGGTTTTGTCTCCACCAAAGAAGTCAAAACCCTATTTCTTTGTCGCGGATTGCATTTGGACCAGTCTCACAAAAACGCAATAAATTCTGCAAAGGCAAATCTTCTTCTACAACATCAAACTCACCAACCTACTCAATTGATCCTCAGATTAATCTCACTGATTCAACTCAGTAGACTCTAGATCCAATAGAATCAGTTAGCTTCCAATACTCATAGTGGTCGTGGTGATCATGGATGCGGTGGTCGTGGTCGTAATGGACTTGGCCGTGCAATTCAATATGCCAAGTGGGCAAGAAATTTGGACAGAAAGCCTTCATTTTTTATCATCACTTTGAGCGTGACTTTGTTCCGTCCATCTTGCAGGATGAGTCACATGCGCCATCGTATGCTCCACCGTATCCTACTCAGTCATGGTTCACTCCAAGCCTCTTACATCAGAGCTCAAACTCCAGGTCATCACTCTGAACCTCTACCACGGCCTTACTTTTCTTGAAGCATTTCTTGCCCTAAATATCATGTTCCTTATCCCTCAATGTCACTACCTGCCACACCTCAACTTATGATGCCTTCCATGAACACTGCATATTAGCTTCCTTTGATTCCTACACCAGTTCAGTCTCCTCAAATGCACTCCATGCCTTCTCACAAGTCTATCACACAGCTTCTGCCACGACACCACAACTCTATATCTCAACTCTTATTTCAATGGATCCACAAACTGGTATCCAGACTCTAGTGCACCGCATCTTGTAACATCTTATGACATCAACATTCAACACCAGTCCCCCTTTGAAGATCCAAATCTAGCCTACATTGGCATGGGACAAGGTTTGTGTGGATCTTCTTTTGGCTTATCTAAATTCAAATCATCATAACACCTTGCACTCATACTCACACATCATAACTTACTTCATGTACCTAAGATCACAAGAAATCTTTTAAGTGTGAGCAGATTTTCCAAAGATATCAAGGTTTTCTTTGAGTTCCATCCTGACACATGCCTGGTTAAATCACAGGCTAGTAAGGAAGTGTTAATTCAAGCGAATCTAGGTAGTGGTGGCTTTTACGTGTTTCCTAATATCCTATCTTCACTAGCACCTACTGCATGTTCCATATCTACTACAACTTCTGTTATTAATTCTGGTTTGAACAAAAGTAGTAATTCTTCCTCTTTGTGGTACAATAGACTTAGACATCCTTGTTCTGAGATTCAAAAGATTGTGCTAAACAAATGTAATATTCCATTTGTAAATAAACGAATGCTGAATTTTTATTCTTCATGTTGTTTAGGAAAAGCTCACAAGCTCCCCTCTCATTCTTCTAAGTTCTACCACATAGTACACTTCACCACTTGCTCTAATCTTCAGTGATTTATGGGTTCCAGCTCCCTTCACTTTCACAAATAATTTTCAATACTATATCACTTTTGTGGATACACACTAGTTTCACTTAAATTTTGTTTTGAAATAATTTTATTGAACCCTAAGAAGGAGGCCTGGGAATATAAGAAGCAAGTCCTTGTTTCAACATGGGGCGGCCAATCCCGCACATGGTGGTAGATCACCCGATATGGGATATGTGGCCGCCCAATTCTGGGAAGGAGGCTTCCGGAATATGGGTAATAGGCCGCCCAATTGGGCTTGGGCCGCCTGAACTAGCCCTTACCATTTGCTTAGTAAACGTAGGAGATGATGTGTCAAAGCTGCAACTAATCCAGGACCAGTCAAGGAGGGATAACCACATTCTCTTGATTCCAAGGGGAATGAATCCCCTCTACGCCAATTTTTTTTGTCATAGAACTAGGGTAAAATACTCTCTTGTTCTCTAACCCAAGCTTAAGGAGTTTCTATAAATATCTCAACCTTAAGACTGAGAAGGGATCTCTAATTTCTCCCCAAAAAGTCATATACAAAACTTCTCACAACCTTTCGTAAGCTAGCCCTTAACATTGTCAAATACCCCCAAAACACTCGGACAACCTTGCAAACACAAGGTTACCCTCGTTGTACTTTTTTAACAAGTACAATTGGCGTCCACCACAGAGACCCGGTAAAACTGACTTCGGCCACCCTTTTAATCAACGACTAATCTATTACTTACCTTCACCATATTTCCTAAAATGGTAAACATGCGACCACCCAATTCAGCCGATTGCAACTCCAACAGCATCCATGAGGCCATAGAAGAGATCTCAGTCACTATGAACGATTTGCACCGCCACAACCAGACTTTGGAGGACAGTGTCCTTAACATCCAGCAACACAAGCAGGAGATTAAGCCCACTGAGGAAACAAAAGTCCTGAATCTCATCACTAGTGACATCTCATCAAGACTTTTCACTTACTTCGGTTAATAGTCAGCCTAAGGTACGTGCGACAAATCTCTCAATCTACAAAATATAAACAAGGGCTTAGTAGATAATTGTTTTGGGTTCTCCGCAAGGCCCATGACAAAAGGCCCAAGAGCGAACTCCAAATAGATAGGTGCATGGAACATATAAACCTTCACTTTGTCCAGAAGTAGAGGATTCCACCCTCCAACGCATCAATCACCGTCTAATTCAAGTTGTCCGCACAACACACCGTATCACTCACAAACGGTTTCAACCGCTCTTGATATATAAGGGTGAATCGCACCATTTCAAATATTCAAATTCATTCTCACTCTCACGTTATTTCTCATTCTCTCACTCACTTAGGTGTTAAAGTGTTAACCTTACAAGTCAGCTGCCTCTCCGTCGCACTGGAAGCTTGCTTCCCCGACCCAAGATCACATTTCACCACTTCACCACATATTTCTAGTTCAAAAGGAAACAACTAAAAAAAAGGAGAATCGGTGGTTGTATATGGGAAGTTGGTCACGTTTCACCACTTCACCACATATTTCTAGTTAAGTAAACAACAACTAAAAAAAGGAGAATCGGTGGTTGTAACAGGGAAGTTGTGTTGTTATACATAAAATCCAAAATGATAATTGAAAAAATTTGAAGGAAGTAAACAACCCTAATATTGATCAAAGGGCCAGCAATTGTAGGCAAGGATAGGAATTTTACATTACACTCTTTCAATACACAATGAGGAAGCATGAATAATGAAATAAGAAATGCTACAGAGATTGGATGAATACCACTAATAATTAACAGAAAGGAAAACCATTTCAGATTCATTTTATTTATGTGTAATTCAATCAGTTCATCTTAGAATGGAAAAACACTCCTGAAAGCTGAATTTCACATGATATTCCACACAGAAAACACAGTCTGAAAAGATTGCGATGAGCACTTTCTAGCACAGGTCATGAGGAACTCTTATGAAGTAACGGATCACGGATGACTTGAGGCTCAAATCCTGGTTTCACATACTGAGCAAGTGTCTTCGCATACAACTCGTATCGTGCAGTCATTCTGAAACCCCATTTGTCTTTATATTGCCTGCACAAGTTCAGATCCATGTCTGTTACTAATAAGCCATCCCTGTTACGTGATAAAGACGGCGTGCAGGAAGCATCTGGTGCTGAAATATAACTTGATCCATAAAAATGCCCAAAATCTGCATGTGCTGGCTTGCCATCACCAGAAGTAAATGGATTCGGGAATGTCTCAGTCCCAACGCGGTTGATTGAAGCAACAAAGTAACTATTCGCTATTGCAGCATTACGTGCCTGAAAAACAATAACACCTTTAAGCCAATACTTAGTAGAAAGAGTATAAGATGTTTTCCGCCGATAAAAGACGACTAACCTCTATTGGCCACATTGGTTCGCTGAGTTCACCAACAGTGGCAGAAGGGTTGAAAACAATTTCCGCGCCATTCAAGCCAAAAGTTAACCAATTTAAAGGATGGTGCCTACCATAACATATATTAATGGCAATCTTTCCAAATGTTGTTTCAAACACAGGGTGACCTGTATTTCCTTCCATATAATATGTGCTCTCATTGAAGTCTCCAACTCTTGGGATATGGTTCTGCCAAATGTTGTGTTCATTAGATATATCTGAAAGAAGGGCTATTGCAATAGAAGCATAAGTGAAAAGTTTAGGAAATGTACCTTCCTGTGTATCCCAATTACATTGCCGTGATTCCCAATTACAACGGCAGTGTTCCAAATAACCTCTCCGTGGTTTAAATCTCTCTCAAGAATTGAGCTTATTATTACCATGTTATACTTCACCGCAAAGCTTTGCAAAAATTTTGTTGATTCTCCATCAACAGGTTCTGCAAATTCACACCACTTCTTCTCTCGTGTACAAAAGGCAAATGGCATCATCCATGCTTCCTGCAATGGAATTATATAAAAACAAACACTATAAATTTTCTGACAGCACTAAGAAACCAATTGAAAAAATGCTCCTGTGCACGCAACTTACTTGCAAGCATAATATATTGACCCCTGATGAACCAGCAGCATCAATAATTGGCCTTAGTTTCTCAAAGATAGCCTTTTTTTGATCCACAAAGTGAGCAGTTGTTGGGAGGGAAATAGAGTTTTGAATCAAGCCAACCCTCACAATTCGAGGTTCCCTTAATACTTCTTTATCAGCATGAAAGCCGAAAGCCTGAAAGAAACATACTTAAAATCACGAGTCCAGCCAAAAATTATAGTTTAAAATATAAATAACAGATAAGTTTCAATGCTGAGGAAAAAAGCTGTTGTGCCATCTCGACTAACCAATACGAGCTAATAGATTCCAACAATAATTTGAATGACAGACAACCATACAAGAAATAGAAAGATTAATCGCTCTCCCGATTAGACAAGAATGAAAATAAGATAAATGAGAAGTGAAAGTGAGTTTTTAATTTTGTCAAACCTGGATTATTTGCAATTATTTGAGAAAAGGGGAATTCTATTCATACCTGGAGGTCAAAACCATGTTCCGCCGAGAGAGCTGTAGCAGATTCAGGTAGAGCAATTGTTTCGAGTACTTTTCCACAATTAAGCCCGGTAAGCAAACGATTGACTTCCTGCAACACAATACTCACATAGCTAGCCATCAGAAAATATGTGATCAAGCAAGCACCATTACCATTAAACCAATTTCATAAGGAACGTATGCGAACCACCTTCCTTAAAGATTGAATAATATTTAAAACAAGAGCATGAATGAGCCCGAAGGAAGCAAAATTTCATTAAAGAGATGAAATGAAATCACCAAACTGTTCTGGAGTACTTGCAATGTTCATTCTACCTCTCACTTTCTTTAAAGTCTTAAAGACTTGGACGTTAGAGTACTGACATGTATTTACGAACGTCACCACCACCAGGAGGTCTAGTTATGAATACCATTTCGAAGAGACACTAAGTTTCTCACCACCATAAAAAAATTTAAAAGATGATAATAGAATCGAGGAATGAAAAACTCAAAATATCATTTGAAAGTAATAAAATATAATGATAAATTCAGCTTAACAAGATCCGTTGAAAATTTGTAAACGGAAAACAAAGGCTACAAATCCATATATGATACTATGAATCATTAGAAAACATTCCATAAATTGGTTTGAGTGTGAGATTAGAGTGACCTGGAAGTGATGAGGTTTGAGATTATCCTTGAGAAGACTGTGAAGGGAATCGTAGCCACAAACAGAAGGATCCGATTGTTTACTATCTTCTCCGTTTTGGTACTTCTCCATCTTAATCGTTATCTAATCGATCAGAATAGCAGTTGGAATTCTCTTCTTCGTCTTGATGATGTGATTTATTTATGAGGATGATGAGTTCATAATTTTGTTTTCTTTCGCACGTGAATCATTTCGTTATTATGTATTTGATTTGAGGTAGAGATGCTTTAGTCAATAGTAACACTAACACCCTTCTTTTCTTGGGGTTACTTTACAAATTTTGTCTTGATTTTGCCAATATTGCATAGACATTTATAACTCATTTGTATTATAATATATAATTTATTGGGGTTACTTTATAAATTTTGTCTTGATTTTGCTAATATTTTGCTAATATTGAATAGACATTTATAACTCGCACGTATACATAATAAAAATAATTTATTGTTTTAAAAGAGATAAATCGATGTCTATTATATTTTTATATATAAAAATATTTAAATCATTAATATAATTTTAATATTAAAAATTTTCACTATTTTCTATCAATTTTATACATCTGTAAATTACCTCAAATTATCTTTCCCACACCACATTAACTCAGACGAGCAACTTTAACGCAGGTTTGTTAAACCAAAATTCTTTATAGCTTACGTTAGTAATAAGGAATTTGCATTATAGGAGAGCTGACATGGCATCCAAATGAACTAAAATTTAGTTCCCATCATCTATATAGTTAACGTTAACTATGTGAAACCTATTATAATATTATTTAATATTAATAAAATATTCCAAATATTCCAACAACATTAAATTAAGGATATGATATTTGAAAATAGTAACGGTCATATTATCATTTTTTACCTTTTATAAATTCTATAGAAATTTTAATTTTTTTTACCCACAGTTTTACTTCTAAATTTTTTCTTTCAATTTTCAATCTTATTTATTTATCAAATCGATCCCAATAAGTCGAATCCTTATTATAATTATATTCCTATGAAAATGTAATTTTTTTTATGTATTATTGTTGTGAATTTTGTATCATTTTTAATTTTATAATAAAATATATTTAATATTATTTTTAAGTTTTTAAGGTAAAATTTATTTAAAAAATTATATGTATTTTAATTTAAATAATTAAATTAATTGTAACTTGAATAAAAAATATAAAATGTGGGGTCAAGTTTTGGTTTCTTATAGACAATCACCATTAAAGTAAAAACTACTCAAATCAACTATAAATTTTTTAAATCATACAAATCACTTTGGGCCCACAAAAAGTATCTTAGTTTACCTATTTAGTTTACTCCCATTAAAGATGCACTTAGTGAACAAAACCTTTTAACATTCACGTTTTCTACTAAATGATTCTGCAACGTTTCTCATATATTAAATACATAATATTAATTATTTTATAAAATTTTATACAATTAAATATTTAACATTAATTATTTTATAAAATTTCATACTTAACACTCTTGTGTTCAAGGTTTTTTTATAAAATAATTATTTTTTATTTATTCAATAATATTATTTCAAATTTAATCTATACTACTATTCATTAAAGAAAATATTTGAGTATTAAAATATTTATTTATAATACTAACTTTCCTATCTCATTCAATACCCATCCGAGGTAGAGAAAAGAAAAATGGTAAAAAAATAAACTATTACCTAAATTTTTTTTGTCACTTTAAGCAAATTAAAAGTTACTATATTATGTATCAAAATTTCAATGTAATTAAAGAGTTTAAGAAATATGTGTAACTAAGGGTGGTAAAATAGACCCGACTTACTATACATGTGTGTTTTGCTTACACTTTAGTGTGAGAGAAAGTTAATAATTTAGACTCTTACTTTTTAATGTGTTCGCTTTGTTCTGTTCCGCTTTGTCCCATTTTTTTCGAGTTTTTGCAAGCATGGACATGAACATAATTTAATGCATTTTTATGTCTAAAAAGTTTAGTGACCGCGGACCCGGCCTGTCCCATCCGCACTTTTGTGCGGGATAGGTTAAGGTTTTAGGTCCGCACCTTTAATTATGTTTACTCTGCTTCATTTTTTTCAAACTATTATAAAGCGAGTCTAATGAAGCAGAGATGCTGATTTGTCACCCCTATTTGCAACAACTCAATCACAAAGTAGTAAAATAATAAATTGTTACATATTATTACAAGAAATAACATTGCATATGATATGCTAGATGTTTGAACAATTATACTGATACTATATTAATGATGGAAATAGTGAAACTCTATTTTCAAAGCATCAAATAAATTTGTCATTGACAAAAAAGTTTGTTAAATTTTATAAAATCAGTCTCATGCGAGTATTGATAAGGCAAGCTGCATAATGATATTGATTCTCCCGTATTTTCTTTTTCCTCATAACAACTTTCCTCTTCCTCTTTTCTGTATAATAGAATGATTTTTTTTTTTCTAATTAGTTAATACAAATCAAAATAGATATTACATGTAATAAAATTCAAAAATAAATTAAGCATTTTACATATCTCCTTAATCATAATCACATCTATCAGGTAGATATATATATATGAGTAGGGTTGACAATAAATCGAACCAACTCAAAAATAATTTGAAACACAGTTCGACAATTAAATCGTTGAACTAGATTTAGGAACCAAATAAATTAAATATGAGTAAAAAAAATTAAGTTCGTTAACTAAATGAGTTGAACTTGAATTTAAGAGTGTGTTTAAAGATTTATTCCAAATGTTAGCCCTATATTTTTTTTAATCTAACGTTGAAAAATATAGAGTGGTATCCCATATGACAACACATGTTCTTACAATTCCAATATCTATTCTGACTTCAGAGTCAACTTTTAGCCTCGAAGGGAGAGTTATTGATTCATTTTGAAAGTTGTATAATTTTTGAACTAATATATTTTTAAGATAAAGTTAAATTTTCCGAATCAGACCACCACTTGGGATGAGAATGACTCAATCCATATGCATCATTTGATGAAAGCACTTCAGTCACTTCCTCGAAGTGGCTTGTCAACCACGCTTTCTCTCCCTCAAAACAATACTCCTCACCAACCTTAACAACCTTGGGTTGGGGCAAGACTGCAATGAGTAGTTTGCTCAAGGACCCCACCCCCTAGAGAGCTGGATGCCGACCAAGATTTAGCTGAGAGCCAACCTAGACTTTCTTGGGGCTTGCCTCAATTTGTAATTTTATTTTATTTTAATATTTTATTTTTAAAAAAATATTGATTTAAAATGTCAAATATTTAAAAAAATATATTAAAAAATAATTTTTAAGTCCGTAAAGCAAGCAAGCGAGCTGAACCTAACAAGCTGAATCGAGTTGTTCGTGAAAAAAGGATAGTAAAATACAAAAAAGTTCAATTTAATGTTGCATTTATTCTTTATATGTTTTAAAGCATATATGTGTTCTTTAATAAACAAAACACATGCAATTAAAAATAAAAAATTAGATATTTAATTTATGTTCTTGATATTGGGAGCTATAGAAAATTTTAATGAAAAAAATTTGTCTTAATGCTAGGCGGGAAGAGATATTTCGTCCTTAATCTTCTTTTCTTTTCTTTTTGTGTTTATGAAAAATAAAAGTAATAAATAGAGAGGTAGGCAAAACTTACATCTGTTTATTGAATCAAGCATCCTTACATATTCTATAACTTCCATATATGAAATATATTAGGGAAATCATACCAGTATCATGCTTCACTGAAAATTCTAAAACAAAGAAAAATAAAATTATGTTAAAAATTAATCCATTAATCATTACAAAGAAAGTTAAGAGAAGAATGTAAGAAAGTTCTATGATCAAAAGCTCTAGGTCTAACACCTTCACATTCAAATCTATCTTTACAAATAAATAAAAAAGTAAAATTAATAAAGATAGAAAAATGGAAGCAATTCTTGATGAAGAACGATAACGTCTAAAAGAGAACCTAAAAAAAGAAAAATAAAAACTTGTTAATGGGAAAACTCATTAACAACATGCAATAGAATAAATATAACATATAAAAATTTTAAAAAAAGAGTTAAAGGAAAAAAAACCATGATGAAATAGAACCATTATGCCTCACTGATGAAGAGCAATGAAAAGGGGATTAAGGGGGAAAAACTCAGAAATCAATAAAGCCTAACACTTGAAGATGAAGGTTGAAAATAAACACTTTTACAATTTGAAAGATCAAACATACATGCAAATACAAATACATTAGAGTATGTAAAAATATAAGGGTTCATCCATGTTTGAATACATAAAAAAAAACAAAAAAAAAATTGTTAGTAACGATGATTAAAAAAAACAACAAAGAATGATGAAATCCAAAGATTTATATTTAAGATCTGGTGGTTTCGATTTTAAATCTGGTGGTTTCGATTTTAAATCTGGTGGTTCCTCCGAAAACTGTTTCAGATCTGAAAGATGAATGAGAAGAGAAATCTTTGGTGAAGAGTGGTGAATAACAATTGAAAAACACAAAAACAAAAATTGGGTTAGTTAATAAAACATACAAAATAAATAAAGGTTTGTAAAAGAAACTTTACTCCATTGATGATGAATGAACTGATGAACGAATGAAGAAGATGATGTCTTCAGTTGTGAGGAGATTCTACAAAAGAAAATTTTTGGATGATTGAAAAGGAAATTTGTGATAGAAATAAATGTGTTTGTAAAAGTAGCAGAATAATAAGAAGAAATAATGTGAAAAATGAGGCTATGTTGTGCAACATATAATTATATTATTGTTGACAACTGCAGATTGATGTGGAAGGAGAGTGATCTGACCTGATCAGAAGAGAATCACGGGTTGGCCACACGCTGCTGGACTGCTGCCTGTTCACCGGTGGTGAGGAGAAAAAAGGGGGTGTACCTGCAAGACACTTCGATGCCAAAGTAAGGAATTTGGCAGAGAGAGAGCAAAGTACAGAAAGTGTGGTAAGAAGTGAATACCTGACCCTCTTGAGGAAGAGGGTATTTATAGAGAGACCCCAGCGCTGGGCCAACGGTCACTTGTGTTGGGCTGGATGGTCAGGCCCAACTCAGGTGACTGCTAGGGCTTACGTGGCG